AAACTACCTGTGTTGTGATTGACCACTAAGCAACATTGCCATGTGTTTCTTTGGGTGACAAGTCAGATGCGAATTTCAATAAATCTCAGGCTTTTTTTCCTATTATATTCTCTGGGAGGATTGTCGATGATGTAAACTTGTATTCGCTATAACAATCGACAAATTTATTGTTTTTTTTATTTCTTTCAAGATTTTTATCACTAATCCAGATCAGACCCTGAACGACGAAATTTGAAATTATTTTTCTATTGTTCGACCAAACGACTTTCATGTACTCGATAGTTACGTTTTATGAGGATTTTAATGAAAAATTGGCCAGTTAGAACCGATATCTTTACTCTTCTTACAGCCTCACTACATACTTACCTTGTACTTTTATTCCTATTTCAGTGTGGCATCTCAGCCTCTGGACTTCGGCAACCTTTTCTGCAGCCGAGTTGTGTCAAGGCTGGCTTGTCGAGGTCGCGAGGCCCTCGAGTCGACTTATCCCCAGTTGGAATGACCACTCACTCAAGTTTCTCCAAGCCAGACGTGGACTATGCTCGTCCGAGCACTGCCCCTGGACTCAGTCTCGAGGATGGCTGGGCTTCGCTGCCCTCTCCACAGAGACGTCCCTCGAACCATCCATTCGCAGTGCCCGACCGCAGTCAGGTTGGTCTCTTCAAAGAAGAGGCTGGCCCGCGGATCACGATGAGCTTATGGCCATCGTGTGTAGACCTTCCGTCTGCGCTTGCCTCGAGTACTGCCGACGTGCAGAGACCAGTTCCTGGGCGCCGACCTTCCAGGTCCTCGAGGCCTTCGAACCCGCCACAGGAGACGGCCAGTACCAACCGTCCATCTGGTCACCAGCCGCCCATCGGCCAGGCTGACCTTTCTCTCGGCTGGGCTCAGGCTCAGGACCCAACAGCATCCGGACGTCCAAGTAACGGATTCTTTGCGAGCCAGGCCAATATTCGGCATCCCTCCTTGCCAATACGATCTTTGTCGAGGCCGTCGTTGACGCACGAAAACACCTACGCTTCCGCGGCTACAGCTGCTGCCGCCACAGCCGCAGCATCCATTGCTGGAGGAGGCTACAGTCGTCTTGGGCTAACGGAGACGGGCACTTCGGCGGGTGATCTGCTGCAAATGCTTTCTCCCTCAATGAGACATGTGAAACAGCAGCAACAACAACAGCAACAGCAACAGCAACAGCAACAGCAACAGCAACAGCAACAACAGCAACAGCATCAGAGCCTGCATCGGTCGCAAAGGCAACATCGGCAATCGAGGCCACAGACGCAACAACGAGTAAAGGATCCAGACCAGTCTGGGATTCCAGCAAGCATTTGGCCGGCTTCCCCTCAAATCGCTGCGCCCGGCCAGATCGGACAGCATCGCTTGCCTCAGCAGCTCCGGCAGAAGCGATGGAGCAAACAGGCCGACAAAGAGGCCACATTCACATCACACGGCGACCTCGGCATTGATGAGCTCGAAACATCTGGAAATGCAGAACACTCTCCGGGACCCTTCAGAAGAGATGTGCCGGCATTCGACTTTGCTGTACACCACAGAAGCTCACCGTACGATTCCAAGACCTTCCTGTCCCCAGAAGAGGTAGTTCGTTTGAGGCATCCTACAGGTTTCTGATGAAGCCTGGATTTTAACTACTCAGAAAGTTGCCACTCTCGGACACCAACAAAAATCTACCCTCATCCATGAGACGAATGTTTTTTTTCTGGCAAAACTGTCCCCTAGCCTGCGGCTAAAAGTGTCTAGAAGCAATATCTTTTAGTCGACCTAGACTAAATGGCATTTTGGACACCAGTACGTGTATTTCATATAAGCTTACTAGCCTATCGCGAAAAGACTAATCTACCTGAACTTATGTAGTCCGGGAGTTAGATGAATTCATTAAGCCATAGTTACTTGAGTGTACTATATTGAATCAATTGCACAAATTGAAATACTATTAAGGATATGTGGTTGGAGTAGAAGGGGTATGGAAGAATATTGACCTTATATGAATATCAATATATATATGTATATACCTTTCCTGGTAGCCACGATAAACTCCGCTTATTTACTGTAAATTCAGTGCGTAGAATTCACATTTCTTTGCTTTGCAAGTTAACTAAATACAATTTAGATATAAATAAAGACAAGTCAAAACCACTTTCCTTAGCACTACTCACTAGTGTATGAGCTCAAAGCAGCAGGAATGTTAGTAGTAATAGCATTAGTAATAGAAATGGTGGTAATAATTGTAATAATAATAATATAAGTTGTGCTAATCCTATTTCGTTTAAGATGATGAAGGACTTGTAGTTGAATTTTCCCACAATGATATGAGTATAGCTTTCGTTTCCATTGAATTACACAGCCTTGCTTTCCCCAAATGTATTGTCATTGAAGCAGGGGTGGACTACAGTTTCCACCTCTCATAGGTCTCATCATGACCCCCAGCGAGATTTGAACCATGTCACTTCAGCGTATAATCTCGACACGTTAACCATTACACCACATTGTTACAAGTGCCCTTGGGTCATAAAGCAGATGTGAATTTCAAGAAAGGCCAGGGATCTCCTCATATTACATACTGTGGTGGGTTTCTCGATGAAGCAAATTTATATTTACAATAATAATCGACGACTAGTTTTTCCTCTGACAATATTATTAGTAAAACTTATAGTGAAAATAGTAATAATGGTATTAGTTGCGGTAGTAGTATTAGTTGTAGCAGCAATAGTGTTGACGGGGCAGTAGTAATTGTTACTGGCGTACCTTGCATTTCTTTTGAGAAGGCGTATTAAAGGGATTCATAGATTGGCTTTACCGGATACCGCAGGAGAGTTGCCTTGGACCTTTATCTGTTGAATTGTGCGAATCCAACCTCAGCTCACCGTCCTACGACCCCGACATAGGACGGTCGTTGGATGGTAAACCGAGGTTTCGTTCGCACAATTCAAAAGACAAAGGTCAAGTGAGGCCAATCTACGAATCCCTTAAACCCGTATTCTCAAACGAAATGGAAGGTATGCCATTTTCAATATAGTAAGGAATTCTTCGAAACCCAGCTTCTCTTCATATCTCATTTGTAATTGTTGTTTTTGTTGCATTTATAGCTAAAGCTGTAGTAATAATATCGAATGCAGAAATGTCTCTTGTCGTCATATTTTTGAGGGTACGCGATCAACTGAAATCTTTCTACTCGCTGCTTTTACTTCAAATTACACTTGGTCTTTCTTATTCGGCCATTATACACGAATTGTTTTGAGTTCAAGAATAGCTGTTTACCTGTAGAGAGGCAATTGTTAGTACACGTAGAGCTAGCACACACGTCTACTAGGTTTAGCTTGATTTGCGTGGCTGAATTTTGCTTCTGATAATTGCGACATATGATTACAAATAGAACCATCTTCACTTGTAAGTTTATCTAAGTGTATGCTGATTACGAAAGAAATCATCATCAAAAATGCAAAGTATATTTTGTTATTTCGAATCGATCTTACTCCTATGTTAAGACAAAGTCCACTGAAATGTTCGGCTCTGTGGAAATACTAATATTTTCTTCAAGTCTATAGTTTCTTGCGATAAAGCAACAAAAAATGGCAGAAATCAGTACGTCAATACACAGGTTCTCATAGGTTTAAGCTAGTGTTGTACTGTTGTGTGGGCAATGTGGATATGTAATGCTCATATCTCGCTAATCCCCGGCTGGAACTTTAAACCCTCTTAAAGCTAATGATTCAACCTCTATTACTCAATGACTCGCTCAATCTTCTTGCCCGAATCTAATCTATCAGTTAGGCATAATTCATACTTAAGTCTCTCTTTGGGGTAGAATACAAACTTGCTTGTCCTTTACAATTGGCACTATCATTTGCTTGACTCTGCAGTCCATCTAAACAGCCAAACGTTGATTTTGCTTTCTCCATAGCTCTTGCTTTGTTATTTACTAGTCCTGATCTCTATAACCTTCACACGTTTTGCGTCTAAGCCTCCCAATATTTTGCGTTTTTATAGGGATATAAGTTGGCACACTATCACAAAGGTCTATTAAAATTCGACTGCTATAGAAAGTCCACATTGTCTCCATTAAATATAGATGAAAAATTGATTTTCGTAAATTTCCAACGATGTTGATTAAAAGGGATTTTTCCCTTAACATTTTCTGAAAAGCAGTTTACTGGCCAGACCCACCAGAGGCGAATATTATCACATTATTTGGGCTCAGCAATATCTTCTCGGCTCTCTTTTAATATAAAATTTTGCCAAGATTCTCTTCTTACTGTGAAAGAACCTGCGAACAAATGGTGGGGTACTGAGGACGAGTCGCTCGAAGAATTGCCATCAGATCATCTTCCCTTCACTTAAGATAAGACTAATCAATAGAGCTCATTGCACCTTAATTAACTAAATGAAATTGCCCAATTAGCTTCACATAATTCTAGCTGGATAAATCTATGCTACTCTTTTGATACCGTATGAAAGGCATCTACAAAACAGACTAACTTCTAAACAATTTCGTTACTGCTTGATGGGTAAAAGGGTAGACCAATAATGATACTCTCACTGCTAAAACTTTGTCAAATTGCAGAGGCCGGAAATGCCCAGCAATCCAAAATATGAGGGTAATTAACCAAAGATTACTACTCTTCCAACAGATTAAAAAGAACATTCCTTCCTACTTTTTGTTAGGACAAACTTAAGAAAATAATAAATTTGTGGTGTATTCATCCTATTTCGTTTACAGCAATAAAAGGAATAGCGGCCGAATTTTTCCACAATGATATGAGTAGGCTTGACTTTTCCATTGGATTTCTAATAGACTTGCTTTCTCAAAAGGTATTCTCACCTATTGGCTAGCCAGTACTCAATTGTTTACACTTAAGCGAAACGGTGGCAAGAAGGACTACGCAATAGCACTCTGCTTTATTTGCTTAACATTATTAAACAAATTTCCCATTAAAGGTGCCTTCTTTCTCTCAGATGTAACGATTTCAAATAAATCGCAAATTTCGCACGAATTAAAAATTTTTACATTTCGTTTTGAGTAGTTTCACTACACTAGATCATACCTATGAGTTCTGTTCACCCTTTTTCGTTTAAGGTGATTTAGGATTGCCATAGCATATATTAATTTGCTTAATCGTCGAAGTGAATGAACTTCCTTGAACCAAAGGGCGCCTGTGGCAATGTGACGGAGTGGTAGACGTGTCGAGAGTATACGCTGAAGTGAAATGTTTCGAATCCCTTTTGGGGTTTTGATAAGGCCTAGGAGAGGTCGAAATTGAAGTCACCCTTACCTGGAAGAGAATAGATTTTTGAAAAGCAAGGCTATGTGAAATTTAATGGATATGAATAGTAACTGGGTTTCGATAAATCTCACCGGATAATATTATTGTTGGGACTTTCATTTCGTATGAAAGTGTATGAAGAAGAGATTCGAAAGTCGATCTCACCAGAAGAGGATGGTTGAATCTCGTTGCACTGCAGCCGTTTGGCTTTTATACAATGTTGAGACTAACTAGGTCCACGAGACCTCCTCCGTCTTTTCAGATGAAAGCGGCCCAGCTTTCGTCCATCAATTGAT